TTAATTTTTTGCTTTTTTATTTCCTAAAGATTCAGCTTGAGTTCTTCCCATTAAATTTCTAACGTCCCTTTTTTTGGTCTACTCTTCCCCCGCACAGATTTAAATCGATACCGCCAAATTTAATGGTACGATGGCGCAACAACAATGCTGACGCCATGATTGAGGCACAATATCCGACACCCGGTGAATTCGAGTACATGGAATGCGGACCCTCGCCGCCCGCTGAGAGTGCACCCAGCATGTATGACAGCTTCGAGGAGCCCACAAGCGAGCTGAGCGTACAAATATGCAACGACACCTTGCGCATCAGTCTGATCGATCAGATGAAGAGCGCCGCCGGGCGTGTGCGCTTCCTGGAGGACATCGAACAGGGCAATGTGATTGTGGAGAATACGAAGACACACTTCGAATCAGCATCGAAAATTGAAAAGAATCTCAGTTATTTGTGGGCGGCCTTCTTGAAACGCTGGGACTTGCTGCAGAGTTTTCTAGACATTGGCGCCGAATTGAACTTCTGTGATCAGAATGGCATTTCGGCATTGCATTTGGGCGCCTTTAGTGGTTGCCTATCGACGTTGAGTTTTCTCGTCGGCAAAGACGTGAATGTGAACTTGCAGCCGAAATGTTATACGCCATTGCATTGCGCTGCGTTTGGCAATTCAGCCGAGGCAGCGAAATTTCTAATCAACAACGGCGCACTCATCACCATCGACACCAACAAACCCAACTGCGAGGAGAGTCTACTGCACTGTGCCGTGCGCGCCAATGCGCTCGAATGCGTGCAGCTGTTCATTGTGGAGGGTGCCGACGTGAATTCGCTAAAACCGAATGGCACTAATGCGATACACCTGGCGGCCGATTTGGGCAATGCGCAGTGCCTGGAGGCGCTGCTGAATGCGCCCGGCGCTGATCCCAATGTGCGCATTTGTATACGCGAAAAGGAGTCGACAGCGCTGCATTTGGCCGCCGATGAGGGCAATGTCGAGTGCGTCGATCTGCTGCTAGCCAAAGGCGCCGATGCCAAGTTGAAAAATCATCGCGGCTTCACCGCGCTGCATTTGGCGGCGCGCACCTCCAGTCTGGAGTGTGTAGAGTCGCTGCTGCGTAACGGCAATGCCGATCCCAATGCAGAGGACTTTGATCATCGCACGCCGCTGCATGCGGCCATCGGCAAGTCGGAGAATGCCTTTGATATACTCGAAACGCTGATACAGTGGGGCGCCAATGTCAATCACAAGGACATTTACGGCTTCACAGCGTTGCATTTGGCCGCGCTCGACGGGCTGGCGCAATGCGTTGAAATGCTGATCTTCCATGGCGCCGATGTGACTACGAAATCGAAGAAGGGCACCTCAGCATTGAATGTGATCACACGCAAGACGCCCGCTTCGGTGGCGATGATCAGACAAAAACTGGACGCGGCCATTACACTGCACCACTCACAAGATCCAGTCAATCGTGAAGTGGAATTGGAGCTGGACTTTCGTCAGCTGCTGCAACACTGTCATCCGCGCGAGATCAGCTATCTGAATACGTTCGTAGACGAGGGGCAAAAGGAAATACTCGAGCATCCATTGTGCTCCTCCTTTCTCTACATCAAGTGGGGAAAGATACGCAAATACTATATAGGACGGTTGATCTTCTGCTTCACCTTCGTGCTCTTTCTCACACTCTACGTGCTGACGGCACTCGCGCACAATTGCTACAACGGCAGCAAGGACGACAATACGACCATACAGGCGCAGGAGCTGTGCCAAAAGCAGTCCATACTCGGCGACATGCTGCGCAACAATCCCTTTGTCATGGAGATGCAGTGGTGGGTGCTGGTCGCCATCACGATTGTCGAGATATTTCGGAAACTCTACGGCATAACCGGCTATTCAACGTTCAAGCACTACGTGACGCAGGTGGAGAATATTATGGAGTGGTTCGTAATCACGAGTGTCTTCGTCATCTCGTACATCTACACGAAACAGACATACACATTTCAGAACCACATAGGCGCCTTTGCGGTGCTGCTGGGTTGGACAAATTTAATGTTGATGATCGGCCAACTGCCCGTCTTCGACGTGTATGTGGCAATGTATACGCGGGTGCAGGGTGAATTCGCAAAACTCTTCATGGCCTACTCGTGCATGCTAATTGGCTTCACAATAAGCTTCTGTGTGATATTCCCCTCCTCGTCGTCCTTCGCTAACCCCTTCATGGGTTTCATCACTGTGCTGGTGATGATGATCGGCGAACAAGATCTCTCGCTGCTGATCAACGATCCGGACGGCAAAGATCCACCCTTCTTGCTGGAGGTGAGCGCGCAAATCACCTTTGTGCTCTTCCTACTCTTCGTCACAATCATACTGATGAACTTGCTGGTCGGCATAGCTGTACACGATATTCAGGGTTTGAAGAAGACCGCCGGCCTATCGAAACTGGTGCGTCAAACCAAACTTATATCCTACATAGAGTCGGCGCTCTTCAACGGTTATCTACCACCTTGGCTGCGCAATTTGCTACACTACACTGCACTCGTCTCGCCACAGGCATATCGAGTTGTCTTGTGTGTAAAGCCGCTGAATCCGAGCGAAAAGCGTTTGCCACGCGAAATACTCATGAAGGCCTACGAAGTGGGCAAGATGCGCAAACATTTTGGTCATACCATATCTGCGAAGGGTACTGCGGCAACCTATTTGCAATACAAGAACAAATACAATGACAATCAGACACAAAGCTATGCGACAGACGATTTGGAAACGGCACATTTTAATACGCTAACGAGCAAGATCGACGACAATGCGGAGCGTATTGAATTTCTTACACAGGAAATTCAGGAGCTAAAGCAGGCGTTGATTACGCAACAGCAACAGGCGAGCAAAGTGATCGATAAGCTATTGATTGTGATTTCAAATCAACAAAAGAATAATCTTAGAAAGTAAGCGACCATTGGCTGAGTGCCAAAGTAAGAAATTACATAGATTTAGGACGACGCTATGTATGTGAGCTCGTCAAGGAACAGTATATTATGTGGTATTATAGTGTATTTGATTCGATTTGAATTTGAAATTTATGAAAAAGTGGAAGCAATCAGAAACTTGAATGGAATTTATTTTAATTGTAAATTTACTTGTAGTTTAGCTAAGCGTGAAATATAAGTAACCGATATTTTTTGTAGTAAAATAATTTATAGTTAAATAATGAATTTACATATACAATTT